AAAAAAAAAAAAAAAAAAGGGGGCGGTCTGACCAAATTTCCACCCTCCCCTCCCCAGTTTGGTAGCTGGTACCACCTATGCCAAGCTTCAACCCAGAGTGAATTTTTCCAGCTGAGTTATAAACCCCTGAAAATAGGGGTTTATAATGGAAACGCTGACACAACCTTAACTATAGTACGCTAACGGGCGCCACTATAATAAAAAGGGAACAGATTAAAAAGTGTCTAAAATGTAAATCTAAAGGACTAACAGTAATTAAAATGGAAATGGCACAGGGAGGGAAGGCATGTAATTGTGAGATATCACTGTGCAGAATGCTCTCAGCTTTGTTTTGCTGGCTGTTTTTCTAATTCAGTAGGGCTTACTCATCAGTGGCAGTTCAATGCGCGTTAATGACTCTGGGATGCAGGCATCACTCTGGACAAAGAAATGATTATTGTGCGGTCAAAAGAAGTTCAAAGACAAGAAGGGAATTTCAGTTTTTTCCTTAGAGATCCACATTCAAGAGCATATAAATTAAGCCAAATGTTAAAAACCACAGTCTGAAAGCTGACTTCAAAGTCACAACTCTCTAATTAATGAACTGCGAGCTTCAGTTTGGACAAGTCGTGGTTTGATGCGCCCATAAATCAACATGACAGGTCTGTTTCACAGTCTCAGACAGTGCTTGTCATTGAGTCACATCAGATGTAAACACAGCAGAAAAAAGAGGGAATATGAAGGAGGTGCAATTGATCAACAGAATTGGTAAAAACCCACTTTTGAAGCGCATTATGCATGATCACAGGAAATGGCTATAGCCTCAAGAGGCTTTCTCCTTCTGCTGTTGCTTTTTTGAATCAGATTTCTAACAGCCTTCAAAAGGGAGAATAAGAATTATGGAGCTTCTCCCCTGTGGCTGGCAGGCAATAACCCCCTGTTGTTATTTTGTGCTTCCTTCTTTTCAAAGGCGTCAAAATTTAGTTTTTTAAAGATCTTTAACTCTATATTTGAAGACAAACAATAAAGGGCTGCCACTGTCATTCTTATCAGTTACCAGGGATTGTATTTTTTCTTTCTGTTGCCACTTCTTATTAACCTCTTATTTGGTCTATTAGACATAGTTTTGAATGCAAGCCTGCATGCTGGGAGAACATGAAAGTTCAGATGAGCTCAGAGGGCAGATAAAGAAATTTGAAGGGGAAAGTTACACAGCAGAATGAACGATAAAAGTTAACTCTTCTAAATTGCTGTTGTCAGACAGGAGAGCATCTCAGACACAAAGATGATGGCTTGGAGTTTAAAGAAAAAAAATACTTTGTGTTAAAAAGGCAAGAAGGGAAGTTAGACAATGTGATGGCATTTCAATATCTAACACACTGATTTACTATGGTCACACTTCTGATATTACACCATCCAAAGTTACAATAAGAAAAGACTCCTTCCTGTTTTAAGAGGAATATTAAAACGTGCGAGATGAAAGAGAACAAGGGTCCAAATCTCTCTTGCTTTTGCTACTCTTTTTTTTTTTTTTTTTGCAGATGGGTTAAGCAGAGGCCTGTTTCAACAATACATTTCATCCTACAGGTTTTTCAGTCCCGTTTTCCTGAGTTAAAAAGGGTATTCTTGCTAAATTAGCATGCAGTTGGTGGTCTTTTTTTGTGCTAAAAGTGACAATAGAGTCACATGGTAGTAATTTTGTGATGTGGACTAGTGGTTGCGGTTTTAACAAGGTTTGAACTTGGACATTGACAGATGGAACAAGTGTATTAATTTACTGCGTCCCTCCAGTCATTAGTAGCTCGTAATATTGTACCATCGGTTTAAAAAAAAAAAAAAAAACCCTAATCCTGCTGGTGAGAGGGATTTGACCTATGACTGGGACAATATACAGTGCTTTTACTATCAATTTCTTTTAAATTATATCGAGAGGCATTTACAGTGTGGTGTGGAGTTAAGTTTGGCGCACTATTTCCATCAGTGATTGTGAGAGCCACGTCTAAACCTCACTGCACACTATGCTTTTAAAAAACCAAACTATATCTAGCCCATTGTGTCCACAAAACTGACTCGCTGGCATTGGAGAGCACTGTCTTTGATTAAAGGAGGACAGAATTCATTTTACATGGAGGTAGGAGCAGACTCTCGTTTCAGGCATTCGAGTTGGGCTAAGTAATTTGTTTTAAAAAAGGCCGTTTGTCCTCCAGCAGTTATGACACTTTGTGTTAGGCAGTAGGGAGTAACCTAAGAAAGGAAAACAGACCTTTGACAGAAGCTTTAGGGAGGGGATCAAAAATGCAAGTTTTATCAGGATATTTCAGCATTTTAACACTGACTGGTGACCTGACAACAGGACTGCACGGAGACCTTTTTTGTATGCATTCAATTGTGAGAAGTAAACAAACTGACTTGTATCCTGTGTTTGGTAACTGGGTGGGGAGCACAGTTTGGCAACGTGTGTTGCTTTTTAAATTCTTTCTTGGACAATGGGCCTTGTATACTTTTATATCCTGGCTTTTTAAAAGCAAGAGAGCTTTTAGGAGCCTTTCTTAAAGATAGCCCAGAAGACAACCAAGCTGGCATCACTCAATGTATCTAAAGAAAGTGGTTTATAATGTTAATTTACAGGGAGATGGGAAGGGAGCAATATGCCCACGGTAGGGAGGGGTGTTTTAACTCAAAATGGTATTTATGGGATCCCATTAGTGATTTTTGGCTGATGGATGTTAATATCTGGGGAGACAATTTTTTAAATCTGAGCATCGCTCACCGGGCATTCGATTCATCTCTTTGCAACTAGCAAAAACAACTGGATTATTTGGAGCAGACTGTTTAAAAAAGAGCTGTCTGGTTTTCAGTTTATTTACATTTTATATTATTTGCTTAAATAATATTACTCGGTCCTGTAGCTTGTTTCTCAGAGTGAAGCAAAATTAGCTCTCAGTACTTTGGTTGGAGGTTGGTTGCTAATGGGAGAGTAATGGGGTGGAGGGAGGATTTTTTGGTTTTGGTTGGGGTTTTTTTGTTTGCTATAAAATAAACTATTTGGGAATTATAAGAAAAATAATTTCCACGACGCTTAACTTTCCCCAGTAGACTGAAAATTTTAAGTCTGTTTCTCAATAGACTTAAAATTGCGATTATGTCAAGTTGACCATGACGGGGTCTGTTCTCTCCTCGTTGCACTTCTGCCTCTCCCATGATCCGAGCTGAGCTGAGCGCTCGAGACATGAATGGGCAGAATCAATAATTGCTTGCAGTTGGGTTTTTATTTTATTTTATTTATTTTTTTTAGAGACTTTGTAAAAGGTTGGGGCTGGATCTTCAGCTGGGGTAAATCAGTGTGCCTCCAGGCACTGGAAGGGATTTTACCATTTGACATTAGTCATGGAGTCGGCCCAGGATTTCTGAAGTCGTTGGAAGGAGTTAAAACAAAGAGACCTTGTGATTGGACCATGATTTATCTGGAAGGGTGTGTGCGTGTGTCTGCAGTTTTGTAAGAGTTAATTTTCTTTCCACAATTGTTAGCCGTAATGTGGATAAGACCTCCACCTTGATATGATTCCTAGCAGATTAGGGATATTAGATAATTTCCTTCTATTTATTGTACCACTGCACTGTATTATCTTTCTATCACTCAGATAATTACTAAGGAAATCTACATTAATTTTTTTTGGCTAGCACAAGGAACCGCTAAACACTGGCATGAAGTATTGATGTTTTACACAACAAAAGTTTTCCTCCTGTCATTGTACAATAAATAAAAAGATATTTATCAAAATGCAAAGCCTTTCATGGGCATTAAAGAACAAAGCAAATAAAACACGAGATGCGCATGGAAGCAAAACCTAGAGGCTTCCTTAACTGAAGCAAAATTAAGGACTCTGAAGCCTGGAGTACTGTACATATTAAACCCTCACATTCAAGTAAGATGTTGTTTGCTAAATTATGAATGTGTGTAATTAAAATCTAGTGGCTGTTTCTATGAAAGATTTACAATGTTATTTCATCGTTTGTCATGGCTAATTAACAATATTAGATGAAGTTTTTCTTCTTCAAAGGTCTGATTTTTTTCTCATTTATTTATGTCAGAAGTGATAAACAGAGTAGTTAAAAGCTTCTCCGGGTGCAACAGTGAGAACAGCAACATGTTCTTTTACACCTCCAAGGTCCAGGGTTCGAATCCCAGTGGAGTACAGCAACTCCGTCTTCTTTAGAGTGAGAATAATTAAACATTTCAAAGCTCTGAAATAACAGTCTTAAAGAGGAACTCAAAACCTAGACAAAGTATTGCTACTGGATTGATGAATAAGAGAGAGTCAGTCTAGAAAACACAGTAAATTAACCCGATCGGTTGCCTTAATACTTGAGACAAGCCTTGCATAAGTGTATGGAGCATGGCATGGGATTATTTCTCATTCCACCTCAGCACGATGTCACCTTGCAACGCAATTTCACACTTACTCGTGAACTTTTCGGTTGGAAGGATCACCCCGTGCTGCACAGACCGCAAGCAGAACCAATGTGCGGCCACTTCTGGGGTAGCAATGCAACAGTACAGAGCAGGGCAGCACAACAGCTTAGGCCACGAGTAAATACTTCATTGGAAATGGGAGGGAGAGTTTGAGTAGGATGAATGCTATTGCCTGAGAGAGGATTTGACCACAGCCCTGCGGTTCGTATCACTCCCAGAAGTGTGCCTAGGGATCTATAATGGCAAGCAGGCAGGACTTAGGGCTGAAGATAATAAGTTGAGGTGTTTTGAAGTGGCGAGTGGAAGGGCTTTGAATCACCTATAAATGCATTGCTCTGAAGTGACATCTCTGCAATTTTCTGTTGTTTCTTCCAGCCCCAGCAGCAGCAGGTGGCTACACAGCAGCTGGCCTTTCAGCAGCAGCTCTTACAGATGCAGCAACTGCAACAGCAGCACCTCCTGTCTTTGCAGCGCCAAGGTTTGCTGACAATTCAGCCCGGCCAGCCTACCCTGCCTTTGCAGCCTCTCGCACAAGGTATGTGTTGAACCTTGTAGGGAGGATAACACATATGCATAACATTATCACTGAAGAAAAGAGAGCTCTCAGAGGCCCCTAAAGTAATGAGTAAGGAAACAAGTTGGTTGGTCATTACAAAAGGGTAGATATTCCTTGGGAGGCATAGCCATGAAGATAGGATTGCTCTAGATGGAGAGAAACAAACAGGTTGGAGTTCAGGTCAAGTTTGCCCAAGACATTGAATGACTGAAAACAACAAATCTGGGTTTGGAAATCTTTCATAAATGGCTCCCGAGCAAGATGTCCGGCACATTGGTCCTGGCTGGCAGGAGCAGAAGAAGAGTCTTTCTTTTGTAGTTTCGGCACTACGTCCTGGGCAGAGGAGGAGACCTGAAGAACTCAGGTCAGCACTTCGTAGAAATGGGCAAAATGGAAAAGCAGAGAACATGCGATGGACCAGGTCCTTGGCTGGTATAAACCTGCATGGCTCTGGTCCCCGCTCACTGAAGAAAATTGGGATCAATTCCACTGGAGCAAGTGGCGTTGAATTGGTGTAGTTGGCAATGAGGCTTGGTGTATCTTCCGTAGTCACACTTCGGGGTCACCTGACCCCCAGTTGTCTTTTCCTGCCTAGCGCAGGGGGCTGGACCCGATGATCTTCCAAGGTCCCTTCCAGCCTTACAATCTATGAACTTCTGAGAGTCTAAGGTTGTTAAAGATGCCGATGCATTTGGGGGCTGTAGGGAAAAAACACACACAGCTTCCTTTTTTGCTGCAGTACTAAACACGGGTTAACATCTGCATATCAGTCCTCTCCCTCTGCTTAACTGGGTTTATCTGCAGGCCTTTGGACATGGCAGGGGGCAAGCTTCAGCCCCAGCTGCTCTGTCAAAGGAGGCAGATTATTGGAAGCTGGCGCAGCTTGAGAAGAAGCAGGTCTTTAAAATATAATGCCATTACTTCTGAAGAGTTTTTCCTTCCCCTTCCCACCCTCCCCATTCCCCACTCTCTATGTATGCCAAATATAAATAGCCATCTCAACAATGAATGATTTGGCTTCTTCAAAACTGTTAATAGCCTTAAGGCTCCTATTAGTTGCTAAACCCCATAGTAAATTTGTATTCAGTTCTGTTCACTTAAACAGGGGGGAAAATTGCTCCTCTTCCCCTGCACTGCTTTCCTGAGCATCTCGGCAAAAAGAAAGGTGGTATGACCAGCAAGTTCAAGTTCTCTGCAGATAAAGGGGAGACATCTTTGCATGCTGGGATCTCCTTTGGCCAGTTAGGCCCCACCGTGTCTTCAACGCCTTTCCTGACTTCATTTAGGAGAGGTTTGATTCTGCATGTCCCCCGTGAGCTTGTATTGCCCAAATGTCAGGGGGCCTGATGCTAGAGATGTCATGTGTGTCATCCGCCGGTCTGTTTCAGTGGAGGTTTTGTCTGCATGAGAGCAGCAGGATCAGGCCTGTGCTATTTACTTAACAACTTGGAGGAAAAGCCTGAAACAAATCCAAAGAAGGCAGCACGTAGGGTAATGCCGTTTGGACTTGCAAAATGTTTTAACATGCATTAATTACACCTTCAGATTTATTGCTGGAAACATCACAAGCTGTTCCTGTGCACCCGCTGGACTCCAGCTTCAACCTTCCTAATTTTTCCCACAGCTCCTATACTATTAAGTTTGCACAGTAAGGTTCATTGTATAGTACATCAGTTAAGCTGTCCAAAAGAGGGCAATTGGGCAGTGACAAGACACGCTCATGTGTAATGTGAAAGAAATGAATGTGGTGATGCATGAAGTGTAATCTGTGCAGTAACACATCAGAGACACCAGTAGGTAATTCAGCAGTCATGGCATTGATTGATATGGTTAGCAGGGTAGTATAACTATTAGTCCCTACAACGGTACGAAGGAGCATATTTAAAATCAAAGGTGCCTATCTGCATGTCAGAGATCACATAAACATAAACAGGGGTGTTTTGGAGGTCTGGGTCTAGGAGAGAAATGAACTGAGAGTCGTGTCATCATCCCTTGTGAAACTGGGACTCGGGGGGGGGAACGTGATTCGCGAATTCAGGCAGGTTGGAATACAACACAATTTTTTTTTATCAGTGAGATGATGGCTTAAAACTGATGTCATTATGAGGTTTAAATCAACTTTCTGCTTGCTTGAACATGGTCACCTGGGTATGGAGGTACAAGGACAAAAAGAGGTTGAGCAACTCTGTTTGTCTTTGAGCCGGTGATACCTGGGGTTGTGAAATTGAGTTCCGTGAACAGTAATCTGTCAACTGTCCCCACAACATACATTTTTTAAACCTGTGCCTACATTTTCTTTTATAATGAAGGGGACTAGTTGTCCTGAAAAATGCAGTGAAGAGCCAGGGCTGTGATTTAAAATAATTGGTAATGAATGCTTTGATTTAAAAAAACAAAAGTATATATATTTTATACCATTTTCTGTTTGGCATCACTGATACTGGAAAAGATATAAAAAGCTCCAGTGAAGGTAGACCTGTAGTCAGTTAAATGAATGATCCCCCCACCCTTAAAGCCTTTGCTAGCCTAGCTAGTTGTGTCGTAGGTACCAGAGTAGTTGTAGTATGTACAAATGTCCCCAAGGACAGTGTCCGTTTGTGTGATTTTGGTTTGGGCTGTAGAACTCGTTTGTTGTTTAAAATGTTTTTTGCCTCGATGCTGACCTGTTGTCATCTAAGATCGCACATCTCTAATTTTATCATTGCATAATCTTTGGGGGGTGGAGTTGTCCTTAGACGCCTCTCTTCCACTCTACATGCACAGCAGCAATTTTCGAATAAACCCCA